GAGAGAGAGAGGTGGGCGCTGTGTGGGAGAGAGAGAGAGGTGGGCGCTGTGCGGGAGAGAGACAGAGAGAGAGAGGTGGGCACTGTGCGGGGAGAGAGAGAGAGAGGTGGGCGCTGTGCGGGAGAGAGAGAGAGAGGTGGGCGTTGTGCAGGATAGAGAGAGAGAGGTGGGCGTTGTGCAGGGAGAGAAAGAGAGAGGTGGGCACTGTGCGGGAGAGAGAGAGAGGTGGGCGCTGTGCGGGAGAGAGAGAGAGACGTGGGTGCTGTGTGGGAGAGAGAGAGAGGTGGGCGCTATGCGGGAGAGAGAGAGGTGGGCGCTATGCGGGAGAGAGAGAGGTGGGCGCTGTGCGGGGAGAGAGAGAGAGGTGGGCGCTGTGCGAGAGAGAGAGAGAGAGGTGGGCGTTGTGTGGGAGAGAGAGAGAGGTGGGTGCTGTGCAAGAGAGAGAGAGAGAGAAGAGGTGGTCGCTGTGTGGGAGAGAGAGAGAGAGATGGGCGCTCTGCAGGCTTGGCCTTTTGGCTTAGATTCCTGGGGAGACCACAGGGCTGGGGTGGGAGGGATGGAGAGGGAGGGCCAGGGTCAGGAAGGGCGGGACGGGCAGGAGGAAAATGGGGGGCTGGGGGCCACAAAGGAGCTGCCTGCACACAGCCCTCGGCTGGGTCTCTAGGACAGATGGCCCTGGGTCTGGGGGAGCGGGCACCCAGGGTGGTCTAGCTCCTGTGCCACCTCAGAGAGGGTGACAGGAGCGGCTTGTCCTGCGACCCCTCCCCCACCCGGGCCTCGACGGGAGCTGGGCGCCCAGCAAGCACCCCCACGTCCCGTGTCAGATTGCTGAGGCCCAGATGCCGCGGCCACCGCAGCCTCCAGAATTAAGCGCGCTGGACGTTGTCAGTGGTGCGAGAGCAGCTTGTAATGGGGACGCGGTCCTGGCACGGCCGGCCTCCACTCGCGGCCAGGCTGCCGCTACTCGGGAGGCTCCTTCTTCATAGGAAGCAGCAGCCGTGGTTAGGTACACTGGTCTCCCCTAGCAGAGGGTTGGGGTGCAGGCCATTGACCAGCTCTCCACCCCTGTGTCCACACCCCCAGTCTAGCCACACAGGGCCCCCCCGCATGAGCCAGGTAGGACAGGGGCCGAGAGCGCACAGCGGCGTGGGCACAGCGTCAGCCTGGGGGGAGCCGTTCAGGAGGCTGGCTCTGTGCTCCATCAGGGATCCCACAGTCGGACATCTCTTGAGCATCTATGTCCGAGAGCGACCAGGCTGACTGAGTGGGCGGCCTCCTGTCGCCCCCAGCGCAGCCTGCGCTGCGGCTGCTCGGGCATGGCCGGCTGCGCGCCAGGGAGCGGCCAGCGGTGACGGCATCCAGATACCGTTGACGCTGGGCAGGCCACGTCCCCCCGCCTGGAATCCTGGCTACTCAGGAGGCTGAGATCTGAGGAAACTGGTTCAAAGCCAGCCTGCATAGGGAAAAAAAAATGCCCAGGGCTCTACCTCTAGCTAACTAGCAAAAAGCCAGAAGTGGAAGTGTGGTTCAAAGGCTAGAGCACCAGCCTTGAGTGAAAAAGCTAAAGAAGACCATGAGACCATGAGTTCAAGCCCCAGTACACACACACACATGCACACACACACGCACACACACCCACATGCACGCACACGCGCATGCACACACACACGTTCTCTGAGCACCTCCTCCCCTCCCCAACGTCCTCCGCCTGTCCCTGAGACCCAGCGGTGGCTGCCAGTGGCTGTCCCCAAGGGGGTGGTCAGGTGTCCTCTGGGCTTGGGTTACGGGTGGGGCCAGTTCCACAGGACAGGGGCCCCTGCCTTCCTGCCCGTAATAACCACAGTGGCGGTGTGTCTGGCCCCCAGGTGGAGGAGTGGGGTCCCTTCGATCTGGTGTACGGCTCCACGCCTCCCCAAGGCTGTGACGGCGGCCACTCTCCAGGTAAGAGGGCCGCGCCCGCCGCTCAGCCCTGTCACCCCCTCGCCACCCCCGTCAGGCCGCGCAGAGCCTGCCACGGCCAGCGAGCACTCGCCCTGGATGTGCCGCGGATGCGGATCCTGCAGGCTCGGTGAGCTGTTTGGTGAGGGTGGGAGCCAGGGTGCGAGTCTCCCCGACCCGCAGCCCCACCCCCATCTCTGTCACCCCAGCACCCCCAGCACCTCCCAGCATGCCCTGCAGGTGGCTGGCCTCCTCTGGAACCTTAGCCAAAGGTTCCCTGATGACACAGCACCGCACTGCGCCCGCGCGGGCTCTGCCGTCCCCGCCGGCACTGCTGACCACCGAGGCAGAGCCGCCGCCGCTGCACTGCCCGAAGGCTCCCAGTCTTGCTGGGGCAGAGAACGTTGTGACCAAGAGGGATGCTCCTGGCCTCACCCCCTCCCCCTCCCCCCTCAGCCCTACCCTCCTGGCCATCCCCTCCCCCCTCAGCCCTCCCTGCCGGCCAATGGTCCTGTGCCTGACCAGCCCTCGGCCCTTCCCACGGCAGCCTGGTACCTGTTCCAGTTCCACCGGTTGCTGCAGTACGCGTGTCCCCCGCCCGGTGACCCAAAGCCCTTCTTCTGGATGTTTGTGGACACCCTGCTGCTGACCCCAGAAGACCAGGATGCCGCAACCCGCTTCCTGGAGGTGTGTGCGGGGTGGGGGAGGCAGGGGGTGTGGAGGCCCGGCCTCCCGGAAACGCTGCGTGTGGGAGGGACGCGGCTCACACTCGGGCTCTGCGGCTCTTGCTGTTGGCTGTTGCGGCTTCAGCTGCCCAGAGGTGCACAGGGCCATGAGGGTCCTCCTTCTGGGACTCGGAGGGCAAAGACAAGGTCAAACCGTCCAGGCCCAACGAACCATACACATGCCAGGCAGCCACGCACACGTGTGCGCACGCCCCCAGCTGGGCCACTCTCCACAGCACACCCACACGCAGCCACGCACACGTGTGCGCACGCCCCCAGCTGGGCCACTCTCCACAGCACACCCACACGCAGCCACGCACACGTGTGCGCACGCCCCCAGCTGGGCCACTCTCCACAGCACACCCACAGGCGCATTTGGGTGTCTGGGCCGTGGCTATGCGCTGGTCACATGGGGCTTGGCAGCCCCTTCCACCCGGGCGGGGCGGGGCGGGGCGGGGGTGAGGTTCGCTCAGGAGGGCGGGTGCCCCAGGGTTGTGGAGCTTGCCCAGGAAGCAGGAAGTGGGGTTCTTCAGGCCAGGAAGTGTCACTGGGTGGCCAGAAAGCAAGCAGGAGAGGGAGCTCCTGCCCCACGTCCCTGCGTTCCAGATGGGCGTGTGCACCCACCAACTCCAGAATTGAGATTTCTGGGTCCGGGGAAAAGGAGCCTGTGGCTCGCCCCCTGCCCCCTGCCAGCCCAGTGCCACCAGCTGCCAAGGGCTGAGCGAGACTGCCAGTCCAGCGCAAACCTCACTGCGCTGCAGGGCAGCAGCTGCTCCTGCCGGCCCCAGCGCCCTCACCCTTGATGAGTCCTCTCCAGGACTCCCGATCCAACCACATTCCTGACTGACAGCGAGTTGCTTTCCTCCTGATTTTATGCCTGGTGTATCTCCCTGGTCCCACGGAGTTCTCGGCCCCTGCGGATCGTGTGGAGTCACAGCAGCAACAGAGACCTCCCGTTTTGCTGTGAATTTTACGCCTCCAGCCGCCCCCCTACCTGCAGATTCTGGCTTTGGGGCTGAAGTGGACAGACTTCACGATGTTGAGGAAATTTCCACCCATCCCCTTTTTTGAGCATTTTCATCAATAGTAGTTGTGGGGTTTTGAATGTCCAAGGAGATTAATTTTTTTCTCCTTAAATCTGTTCATCGATATGAATAAGTAGTTTCTAGTAATGAGTCATTCTGAGATCCTGGGGGAAATCTGCCTGGTTGTGGTATATTGTTCATGTAATATGTCGCTAAAAATACATTCGCGAAGGTTTTAGAGCTTATTTTCCTTGAGCCAAGGGCTCCCCCGAGTTCTGTCCTCCACTGTGGTCATTTCTCCTGACTAAAGGATCAACATATTCAAAATGCTGATTTCAAGGGAGGTAGAGCAGTCGGGATCAGCCTTGTAGCTCAGCCTGGTATATCAAAATCCCACAGTTGGCCGGGCGCCTGTGGCCCTCGGCTGCAATCCAAGCCACCCATGAGGCTGAGATCTGAGGATCGCTGGGGCAGGTAGGAAAGCCCACGAGACCCTCATCTCCAATTAACCAACAGAACACCACAAGTGGAGCTGTGGCTCAAGCGGTAAAGCACTAGCCTTGAACAAAAAAGCTCAGACACAGCACCCAGTCTGTGTTCAAGCCCCAGGAACAGCACCAAAAATCAAACAACAAACTGGGTTTGAGTGAAAAAACAATGTTCCCGAGCCAGCCCTGCATGGGCCACGGGAGGTCGGCAGAGCACTGATTGCTAATGCTTGGTGTGCGTATTTGTGGGTCAGAATGAATGGGCTCCGTGTCAGCTTTCTGTGTCTCCCGGAGCCGTGGAGCCTCACCCACACGTGGGGGGGACGTGGCACACTTGGCACGCGCCTCGGCCATGCGCCCGTCCCCCACGCTCCTGTGGGCATCTCCAGGCCACTCCCCGGGGAGGCGGGAGGGGACAGGAGGGGACAGGTGGCACGTGGGGCGGGGGACTCACATCACCTCAGAGCCGGTGTGGGTTGGGCCTTGTGCCTCAGTTCCCCATCGCGGGGTGGGGGAGGGGCCCACCTCTGTCCCCTCTTCCTTCTGGAGGCCGAGGCTGTGTTCTGCAGACAAGCGTCCCTGCTCCCTGGGACGGAGCCCGCTCTCCCCAGCAGAAGTCCACGCCTCACGAGAGGGGAGCCCTGGTGCCATGGGGGACCCCCGTCTCGTGAGTGTCCCAGCAGACACTCGGACACGGTGGGTCAGCGGCACGGCCTTCCCTTCCCGCAGACAGAGCCCGTCACCCTGCAAGACGTCCGCGGGGAAGCCGTCCACGGTGCCGTGCGCCTCTGGAGCAACATCCCGGCTGTGAGGAGGTGTGCCCGGGCGGGGGGCGGGGGGCAGGGGGGCGGAGGCC